AGGGGACATTGCAGGGTGGGGACATCCCAAGGCTGAGGTGTCTTGGGGACATCCCAGGGCTGGGACACCCTGGAGACATCCCATGGCTGGGACATCCCAGGATTGGGACATCTTGGGGACATCCCATAGCTGGGATATCCTATGGTGGGGACATCCCATGGCTGGGATATCTTGGGGACATCTTGGAGACATCCAGTGGTTGGGACATCCCATGGCTGGGACATTCTGGAGACGTCCCAGGGCTGTGACATTCTGGGGACATCGCAGGGTGGGGAGATCCTGTGGACATCCCAGGGCTGGGGCACCCTGGGGACATCCTGGGGACATCCCATGACTGGGACATCCCATGGCTGGGACATTTTTGGACATCCTGGGAACATCCCATGGCTGGAACACCTTGGGGACACCCTGGGGACGTTCATGGCTGGGACATCCCATGGCTGGGACACCTTGGGGACACCCCGGGGACGTCCCAGGCCGTCGTGGGGATGTCCCATTCCAACCCCCCCGTGTCCACAGGCAAGTCCCACCTGGCCATCGTGCAGAAGGTGAACAACGAGGGCGAGGGCGACCCCTTCTACGAGGTGCTGGGGCTGGTGACGCTCGAGGACGTCATCGAGGAGATCATCAAGTCGGAGATCCTGGACGAGTCCGACACCTACAGTAGGTTCTGGGGCTCCGGCCATCCCCAAAGTCCCACCGGAGGAGGTTCCTGGTGGTCCCCCCGAGGTGACCCCGCTGTTCCCCGCAGTTGACAACCGCAGCAGGAAGAAGGTGTGCAACCAGAAGAACCGACGGGACTTCTCGGCCTTCAAGGACCCCGACAACGAGCTGAAGGTCAAGGTGTCACCTCAGCTCCTGCTGGCCGCCCACCGCTTCCTGTCCACCGGTCAGTTTGGATGTCCCAGGGCTGGGACATCCCAAGGATGTCCTGGGGACATCCCAGGGCTTGGGACGTCCTGGGGACATCTCAGGGCTGGGACATCCCAGGGCTTGGGACGTCCTGGGGACATCTCAGGGCTGGGACATCTTGGGGACGTCCCATGGTTTGGACATCTTGGGGACTGGAGGATCCTGGAGCTGGAGGAGCTCACAAAGTCCTTGTGTCCCCACTGGTCACTCCGAGCAGAAATTTTGGCTCTTGTCCCACTTTTGGTTGTGTCCATCCCACCCAAAATGGGAGGGGACAAGGTTGGGGATGGGTGTCCTGGTCCCTTGGTTTTGATGGTTTCTTTGGGACCTTTGGGATGGACATCCTGGCCCTGGATGGACATTTCAACCCCA